TGTATGCATGCATATAAGCATAACCAATGGACATAAGACACTGGGGGGTAGGGGAGGCCAGGGGATTGTCAAGGGCGGGGGAAAAAAGGAGACATATGTAATACTCTTTGTAATACTTTAAGCAATAAAACAATAATAAAACAATAATAAAAAAATCAAATGAATAAAAATGTAGGGTCAGAAAATTTGAGCCTGTACATTCCAATCAAGGGACCAAAGACTTTAGGGCCTGAAAGCACTCATTGGGATCAGGATGAGTCAATTAGTCTCCTCCCAGGTTAGAGTTTCTTTTCTAAATTCATGAATTTCCCTTTTAAGGCTTAGGCTGTGGAGTCAGACCAGGACAGGAGAGGAACTGGGAGGGACCCACATCTGTGGGATTCATGTTTAGCCCCCACCTGGGCAATGGGTCTTTTCTTTTCAGATGACAGCAATGGCTGGAGACCTGCCATCAAGTTTGATGACATGGGGTGGAGTAGAGTTGAGGAAAAGTGGGAATAGAAATACATGGAAATGGAAATACATGAAAGTGTGGAATGGAAATACATGACAGTGGGAAATTCCTCAACTGGAAAAGTGCCCTCATGAAGGGAGCTGGGATCCAGGTACCTTAGTAGCATCTTCTCTCCATGTCTACCCAGTCTACAATTTCCCATGAGACACTCACATGTAAATGCACAAAGAAACTGTTAGGGATACCACTAGTGCTTGGATCGGCAGGGTATTAGTGACAACAACATCATTTTCTTTTCCTGATAAAATTTACTTTTCCATAAACATTAAATAACATTTGGGTACTGAGAAAACAAAGAAAATCAAATAATTACAAAAATAATCACCAGTAAGTCCCCAGGCCTACAGGAAAGGGCAGTTGGGGTGACCAGACCTGCAGGGAAGGGAGTTGGGGGCAATCAGGGGAGCAGTTAGGCATTGATCAGGCTGGCAGGGGAGTGGTTAGGGGCCAACAGGCAGGCAGGCAGGAGAGCAGTTGGGAGCCAGCAGTCCCGGATTGTGAGAGGGATGTCCACAGGGATCGGGCCTAAACTGGCAGTTGGACATCCCCTGAGGGGTCCCAGATGGGTGCAGGCTGGGCTGAGGGACATCCCCCCTGCCCCCAGTGCACGAATTTTGTGTACCAGGCCTCTAGTGAAAATAACAATTACAGTAACAGCAGTAACAATGGTAATAGCTCACATTTGTTGACAATTTCTCTGCACTCATCTTAAAATTTTTTTCATGCAGGTAACTATGAAGTCTTACACCATCCATGTGGGGTAGGTACAATAATTATCCCCAATATACAGACCAGGAAACTGAGGGAGAGGAGAAATAATTTCCTGAAGGTCAGAGAGCCACTTAGTGGCAAAGCTAGAGTTAGAACCCACACAGCCCAGATCCATTGTGTAAGCTCTAAACACCCTTCCTACTAATTACAAAAACCTAACTGCCCACTTCCCTCAAACTATCCTGCCCTGTCTCCTTGCTCTAATCCTTGACAAAATGCTTGTGCTGCTCTGGATGCACCACAATCTACCCCAATAATCTCTTTATGTCCCTCCCCCCTCTCCCCAAAACCTCTGTACCATTGCAACTCTTCAAGTGGCCGCTGGTGAAGACACTACTTGATGCAGCACTGAATCCCTGTGCGCAGTGACAGGAGCGGGCATTGACACATGGAGGGTTCGGAGGGCACCATCGAATACAGGCTGTGGGGTGGAACAGTGAGGATGGAGGCCATGGTCAGAGGGCACAAGGAATGGATAAAGCCATGGACAACTGTGGGTTCAAGACTAGAGGAGGGGAGATAAGGGAGGGATGGCTGCTATTGGAAGAGGAATAGACAAAAAAATCTGGGCATTTAGGGAGGTAAAACAGCTTTTCTTATCCCCAGAAGACCATCTCTGAGCCTCACTTGCAGAATAAGCCTCCTTCCCTCCCAACTGGTGAGAGGACCCAGACCATAGCCTGCACCCCCAGCTTAATATCACTAATGGGCATCTGTGTGGGCAGACTTACCCCTATCCTTCTGGGCTGCAGAAACCAATGGCAACAACAGCAGCACTGACAGTTCTGGGACAGAAAAACATGAAGAGAAGACAAAGAAAAGAGAGTCAATCTTCAATTTCAAAACCTGGCTGCATGGCCATTGCTTCCTTTGGAGGTGGTTCTTGCCCTGCAGCCCATGGCCTTCCAGCAGGTTCTTTGTGTACTTTACTGGGAATTGAGGACTCAATCTTTCCCCTCCCCTACCCAGAACAACCTGAGAAATTAGTCACCAACAGATACAGTCGTCATGGATCCTCAGGTGCCACAGGTAAGGGCATAGAACATACATGACAGATGCCTATAGGGACACAGCTTAGAAACCCCAACCTGTCCCAATGGAGGGGGTAGATCTTAAAGATCCCTTTGCCCAGATCCAGTTTCTTGTTCTCTGGCAATGGTAGAAATCTGAGGATTTCTCTTCCAGGATCATTTCCCCTGTTAAACGTACATTTTCTGTGTATACAAAAGGAGCTGGGCATTAGAATTAGACTCCCAAAGTGTGAGCCCTAGCTCACAGTGTCAGCAGGGGTAAGAACCCTGGAATGGAGAGATGGGGGCTAATGAGAGGTGAGGAGTGAGAATGAAGGCAGCTGCAGGTAGAGTCACTATCTCCTGGTTAAGTGGCCTCTCCAGGTATAGCACCCATGGCTTCTTTGGTTCCTTCCACATGAGCTCCTGGTCCTCAGACAGCACCGAGGGCACCGCCTTTGCCCTTTTTCTTCCAGTTCAGCCCTAAGGAATAAGTCACTGAACAGGCTTTGTGGTCTGAAAACCACTATAGGTGCGGAGGAATGAAACCTACCCTCCAGGCAATAACTGGATCACATATGTAGAGTCCAACCTTTCATGCATATGAGCCAGTGAACCCTATGCAAATTCAGCTCTGTGTGCCTTTACAAGAAGTTTCTAAAATGTGTCCATTCTTAAAAAACGTCATGTACCACAAATCAGATAATGATAAAATGTGGCTATGTTTCATAAAAACCAGGAAGCAAATTACAACCAATGGAGAAAACCTAATGTAAACACCAAACGTACTAGGTAACAGTTGCGCCTTTGCCCTTTTTCTTCCAGTTCAGCCCTAAGGAATTAGTCACTGAACAGGCTTTGTGATCTGAAAACAACTACAGGTGCACAGGAATGAAGCCTACCCTCCAGGCTATAACTGGATCACATATGTAGAGTCCATCCTTTCATGCATATGAGCCAGTGAAGCCTATGCAAACTCAGCTCTGTGTGCCTTTACAAGAAGTTTCTAAAATGTGTCCATTCTTAAAAAACGTCATGTACCACAAATCAGATAATGATAAAATGTGGCTATGTTTCATAAAAATCAGGAAGCAAATTACAACCAATGGGGACAACCTAATAGAAACACCGAACTTACTAGGTAACAGTTATTATCCTAAGCATTGAAGGAAATAAAGACTAACCAGACTTTGGCTGACCTCGTTAATATAGATTTTTACTAATTCACTATCCTTTAAATCATGCCATGATACACACACAAAGATGATGTATTTCTTAGCATAATAGAGTTTTCAGATAGTTTGATTATTTAACCTTCTGAAAAAAAACTGATATGTGCTAGTTAATCTTATGTATTAATTTGGTTAGACTACAGTACCCAGACATCTAGTCAACATTAGTTTACTAGAAGCCCAGTGCTGGGAATCAGGCCTAAACCAGCAGTCGGACATCCCTCTCACAATCCCGGACTGCTGGCTCCTAATCGCTCCCCTGCCGGCCTCCTTGGTTGCCCCTAACTGCCGGCCTCCTTGGTCACCCCTCATGGCCCCACCACTGGCCTGGTCATCGCATGCAGACTGCTTGTTCAGTTGTTTGGTCATCCCTCACTAACCACCCTGCCGACCTGGTTGTAGGCAGCCATCCTGTGAGGGTTTGAAGGTTAATTTGCATATTACCTCTTTATTACATAGGGTGTTGCTGTGAATGTGTGTTTTAAAAAAATCTTTATTGTTGAAATTATTACATATGTCCCTCTTTTCCCCCATTGACCTCTCCTAGCCTACCCCTATTCCCCACCCTAAGCCCTTACCACCCTATTGTCTGTGTTCCTGAGGCATGCATATATGCATACAAGATCATAAGTTGATCTTTTCCCACTCACCCACACTCCCTTGCTTTCCCTCTTAGGGTTGACAGTCTGTTCTGTGCTTCTATGACTTTGGATCTATTTTAGATAAGATTAACATTTAAGTCAGTAGACTGTGAGTAAATCAGATTGCCCTCCATAATCTGGGTGGGCCACATCCATTCAGTTAAAGACCTTAAGAGAAAAAAGACCGACTTCCTCTTCTGTGGAAGAGGGAATTCTGCTTTCAAACTGTCTTTTTAAATTTTATTTTATTTTTAGCAAGAGTGGAAGAGAGAGGGAAAGACAGAGAGAAACACATTGATTGGTTGCCTCCTGTATGCTCCCTGACCAGGGCTCACGCCGGGGAGGAGCCTGCAACCAAGATACGTGCCCTTGACTAAAATCAAACTGGGACCCTTTGCTCCGAAGGCTGATGCTCTATCCACTGAGCCAAACTGGCTAGTGCCTAAACTGCCTTTAGACTTGAACTTCAGATGCAACATCAATTCTTCCCTGGGTTTTCAGCCTACTGGCCTTCCCTGTGGATTTGAACTTTCTTGGACTTCAGATGCAACATCAATTCTTCCCTGGGTTTTCAGCCTACTGGCCTTCCCTGTGGATTTTGAACTTTCCAGCCTCCACTAATCTCATGAGCTCATGCCTTATAATAATGCGTTTCTCTCCCCACTTCTGCCTTTCTCTCTCTCTCTCCCTTGTTCTCTCCCTCCTGCCCTCTCTTCTTCTCTCCTCCCCTCTCTCCTTCCCTCTCTCCCTCCTCTTCCCCCTCTCTGCTTTCCTCCCTCCTATTGATTCTGCTTCTCTGAAGAAACTGGACTAAAACTAGTGGTTAAATGGGAAATGTCTGTTAGGTCCTTGAGTATGCCCTAAGAATAAGTTTCACTAACTTTCTCCTTTGAGATTTAACATAAATGAGTAAATGTCCTTAAATTTTCTTCCATTTGTACCTTATAGAGATACTGGGAAAACAAGTCAGGTATCAAGCAAAAACAGATAATATTTTCAAACTGGGTAGAGAGTTCCCAGATAGCTTTGATTGTCTATGGTCATTGTTACAATTTTACCTACCTGGCAGCACTCTTAGACATCTGTTTCTCATGGTGCAGATGCAAGTCCAGCCACTGAGGATTTCTGATCTCGGTCTGTGGGTGTTAAAAAACCCTTTCTATTTGAAGTATATATTGTGTCCTAGAGGAAGTGACTTAAGAAACTGTTGATTTGCATTTTTTCTTTCCCATAATCTGCCCAATAATTAACTTCTCAGGAACTCCAGTTCTTCTTTTAAAAAATTTACACAGTATTTTAAGTCTGTACAGGAGGCCTCTTTGAGGGTGATTTTTAAATATTTTTTACAGAGGAAAATGTGATACTGTGCATTCAAAGACCTCCCCAAATGAAGAATCACTCTACTGGTCTTTTTGCCCCTATAGGACCTTAGGTCAGAGTGAACAGAATATCTCTTTATTATCTATTAATAGATATTTTATTGAGGTAATATTGACCTACATTATATACTTCCAGATGTACAACATCATAATTCAATAACTGTATACACTGGGAAATGATCACCAGAATGTCTAGTTATCATTCATCACCATGTATAATTATAATTTTTTTTTGTGAAAAGAACTTTCAAGTTCTACTTTTTTTAGCAACTTTTAAATATTCAATACTTTATTACTGACTGTAGTCACAATGCTGTACATTACATGCCCTGGCTTATTTATTTTGTAACTGGAAGTTTATATCTTTTTACTCCATTTAACCATTCCCCCCATTCACCCCCCAACTCTGGCAGTAACTGATCTGTGCTCTGTATCTATGAACTATTTTTTTAAATTTTTATTTCCCATATAAGTGAGATCACATGATATTTGACTTTCTCTGTCTGATTTATTTTTCTAGGCATAGTGACCCCCCATCTCCATCCATGCTGTCATCAATAGCAACACTTCATTCTTTTTTTTAATGGCGAAATCAGTCAAACCTCAGAGGGAAGGTAGTCGAGGGTTGGAGTAAGGGGGAGAGATCAACCAAAGGAGAGATGCAAGCATATAGGCCTAACCAATGGACACAGACAACAGGGGGGGGTGAGCACATGAGTGGGGTGGATGGGGGGTAACATGGGGATAAG